ATTTGTTTTACTTGTCAAAAGTCTTTTTCAAATAAATGTGCAAATGGAAACTCAGTTTGGCAATGACCTAAATTATACAGTGTTACAATAATTATTTTTCAAGATCCTTGTAAAATTTTCATTGCAAAAAAGTGATAGTGAAGTGTGGTTTTAAAGAAAGACAGCTTGAAGTCAAAGAATTAAGGTATTTTAAACAGTGGTATAGTATTATAATATCAATCTACTTATAGTCTGGATTTATCAGCAAAAATAAAATCTTTATTTCCACTTTTCTGAAGTGTTGGAATAGTCAGTCATCTTCTTAGGATAAACTCAAGAATATTAATAGCTTATCATCAAAGTCACTATCTACATACAAAGGAATAACATAAATCGATCCTTTAAGATGGTCTGAACTATTGCCCTTTCCACTAACACTATTTTTATTTTTTCACAAATCCATTTTCTCAGCAAGGAAAAACATAAACACCCAACACATGAATACAGCACACAACGACAGAAGACAAGAAGGCAAACGATACACTGCTCTGAAGACCTTACAGAAGAAAAGAGCTGCTGCTAAGGACTGTGCAAGAATGATACGAGGGCACATATACAACTAACTGCTTAATGCTTCATCCAAACAAGTAAAGTTCGGGGCTAATTCTAAACATAAATGGGAGTAACACAGTTTTTTTGAAAATACAAGAAAATTAGCAGGGAAACTTTGATGAGACATTCAGATAGACGGCATGTGAATAGCAAAATGCTGTCTGCACTGTCAAATGATCAACAAGGCTGCCAGCAGCAGAGAAGCAGCCCAGCTGGCAGCCACATGACTACATTCGCTGTATCATGCCCAGGCTGAAGCTCCATCCGTGAAGCAACCTGGACCTCACTAACAAAACTGGAGAATTCCCTTGATATGTCAGTTGACAAAGCACATGACAAAAACATGGTCAATGAGGCCTGACAGTTTACTAAGCAGAATACGAGAAAAGAGAGAAATAATCTTTTTTCAATCTGTAATGTCCAACCTCTTAGCACCCTTATCTTTAGGGCACATAACTCTAAATCTGCTGTAGTATTGGGATAAAGAGAGGGCATCGGCCGTGCATACACAGGTATTCCATCTTCTTAAATACTTTAAATACATCTCCTTAAATACAGTAGCTCTCCTTTTTGCCAATGTGTAAAATGAGGTCAGTAACTGCTACACCAAGCAAGGTGCCTCCATAAGAGCCTAGCTAACAGGAAGATGGGATTTGAGGGAGTCCACACAGTGCAGGACATCTACCAAACTCTGACAGGCTTCAGCCTCCTCAATGAGGAGATTGGCCATCCTATCACGCAATGCAGCAATCCCGGAAAGAGTTAAGGAGGAAAGACACACCACCATGTTACAGTTTATGCAGGAGATGCCTCAGTATGTTCAAGAAGAATTGTACTTTCCAGCAGCAAATCAACAGTATTAGAGAAGTCAGGCACAAAGAGAAGACAAAAAAACACAGAGACCCTGTGCTAACCCTCATGCCAAGGCCAACTCAGCACTGATGTCAGCATCCCTCGCATCAATGGGTAAGGCACAGCGACATGAAGTGGGTCCTTACGAACTGCCAAATGACATGAGAGGTGGAAATGGCTTGGTGCTTGGCTATGCTGAAGGAAGGTGGCATTGAGGCAGCTAAATAAACATAAAGGAGGTATTGCTAGCAGACTGGCACAAGTTATTACTTTACCTTCAGTTTGGCATGGCTGTAGAGAAGAGCTCTCTACAGTGCCAGGGAATCTCTCTTGTTCACAGGATATTCCACAATGATCACATGGGCTCTGGCAATATTGAATCTAGAAGTACAATACACAACAACAAAGGAGATGGGTAGCTCATCTAAGACTGTCTGACCAATCTGTCCCTAAAAAAATATTGGTGCTGAAGAAGGTACAGGGACTCAAGTCAACAATGTGGCTTGGTTAGAGCATGCACTTGCTTTGTAGCTGTAGTTGAAGCTGGCTTCAAGCAACAGTGACTGAAACTTGAGCTCCTAATCAGAAGTCCTGCAAGGTTTGAAACGGAAAACAAGTATTAAAAAACTGAAATGGAACTTTGGCAAAGGCATTTGAAGTTGGTACAAATCCAAAAATATCAATTTAATTTGCAACAGAAAAAAATTAGGTTAGACAGTAGAAAAGTAGATAACGTGGGCAGCTAATCACAAGCAGAGACAGGCTGCATTAGGCCAAAAATCCACCTATTGCCAGCAACTCATGTCTAGGGAAGAATACAAGGACACAGAAAGCATATAATCAGACTTCCCAGAATATTTTCTGAGGATATAGTAAGCTGGGACACAAAACACAGAAACAAAGATGGTATTTAAGATTTTTCATCTCCAAGTTCATTAGAGCTTTTCTGAACCCCTGAAAACTTTTACCACCCATAACACTCTACGGCAAGCAAATTGTAACTTGACTTCATTTTGGGGGAAAAAGCATCCTTGTTTCCAATTTGTTTTCTGCTAGTTACACTGGAAGTTCATTAACCTTTGTACAGGAAGGCAGTGTACAGTTGTTCCCTGTTCACCTCTCAGTCCTACACAGGGAATACACTGCTACCATATGCCTCCTTATTTACCTCTTCCAACTACTTAGTCTTTCACTGATTTTGATCATCATCTGTGTGCTTTTTGCAGTTCTATGTCCCCTCTGAGATGTGGAGACCAGCATTGTCACTGGGGAATAACCTGCTATTTTCAGAGAATGTGCAAGACTCCATTCAAGAGAAGTTAACTGCTGTAAATTTTAAAATTATTTATCCCTACATGAATTGCTTTTATGATAATTGTCATTCATCATCATCTCAGAGTAGCAAGGTCTTTCTCCAGCTCTTCCTTATCTTCATCTTTACTAATTTTAATAGCCTTGTATCACCAGACTATGTAATTTCAGTATTTGCATCTTATCTAGATCATCTGTAAATACACACTACAGCACACAGAGCTACCCTTTTTAGGCTGATGAGCTATCATTTAGGAAGATCAATATTTGTATTTTTAACTCAGATTCCATTAAATAAAAACAGGTTTTTTCCACAAACTGTACACATATAGAAAACCTGACTCACTATCTTCCATCTGGATCATCAACAGCTCTGCTTTCAAATTTGGAATAGATTCCCTGGGTATCTAAACACAATGCTCCTTCAAAAGAAGGAGCCAAATTGGATGGGGCCCTGAGCAACCTGGTCTAGTGGAAGGTGTCCCTGCCAACTCTAAAGTCCCTTCCAACCCAAACCATTCTGCAATTCTGTGAGGGACGACTGTGAGGAACTGCTGGGTGACTTCGTATGTATATCACAAAAATAATCCTACCTTCTCATTAAATATGTGAGAAACTGTTAGCAATCAAGAATAAGAACTTGGTGTTCTGATATACAATTACAAAAGATGGCAACTCAGTGCTAAATAGCAGTCAAAAAAAAAAAAATCAAATGTTAAGAATTCAGAAAAAGCAGATGACAACATGAAGATCATGTAGATATCCACGGTTCACTAACACCTTAAGTATTGTATGCAATTCTAGTTCTTCCTACCTGACAAAAAAAAAAAAAGGTTCATAAAATGGAACAAGATAATCAAAGATATAGACTAATTTCCACATGAAGTAATGACTTAAAATCTTTTTCAAGAGACGATGGGAAGTAGAGAGGGGTATTTGACAGAGGTCTATAAAATCATTAGCGGCATGGAGAGGTTGGCTAGGAATCAACTATTCATGATGTCATTCAATAAGGGAACCAAAAAATATCAAAGTAGATCAGCAGGAGCCAAACTGAGAGCAAACTGACATGTGCAACTTCTTGCCAATGGGATACTGTGAATAACAAAAATTTACAACGGTTCAAGTGGACACTGATTAACTATACAAAGAAAGAAAACTGCTGTGGGTTACTGAAAATACATATTAAGTATATTCAACTCAGGAAGTTCCTTACTAGAAAATGAAAAAGTATTAGAGGAAATTATAATTTATATTATCTCTGGTTTTGTACTTTTCCTTAGGCATCCACTTATGACTACTGTTGAATACAGATCTTTAGTCTTTAATCTATCTTGTCTGGAAACACAGAGAGAAGACAAAGAAATTCTGCTCCCTGTAACATAAGTTCAAGTTATCTGAACTGATGAGCTGCAACTTGAATTAAAATCTTCTGCATAATTTTTGCAAGTTACTTAAGCTACAACCCTAAAACTGGTGACTAACATAGTGGGAACGACATGATAAAGCAAACCAATTGAACTCAAATAAACTCTTCTGGTACTTATGTGAGGTTGATATTTTGAAAAAAAAAAATATTATAAATCCTTGTATGCAAGAGGCACTCACAATCTTCAAGCACAATTTGTCCTATTGTTTCAACTTCTATTCTCCACATACTGTCTCCTTTATGCTGGGTTTAGTGTCTAGTCTCAGTGTCTTCACATATAATACTCTTCCTATATTTTCTATTCCCTCCAGCACCTCTCATTCAAATGCAAATTTTCACATGGTCATTAAAAACTAATACCAATCACTAATATTATAAGCTGAAATTCTCCCTCTAATAAAGGTGCATCAATCCACTCTGCAAACAGCAATGAAATTAATACCATGTAGGCTTTCTTTATTCTGGATTAAGATGTTTTGTTTTCCTAATTACATTCAGCACATATACACCTATTTTTGATATGGCACTATTTGCATACAAGAAAGAATGATACAAAGATTTCTACATTGTTTGCTAGAGAAGTGATCACACACTTTTAGCGACAGAGAACCTCCTCCCCCAAGAGGACTAGGTTTTACCACATTATTAAATATTTAAAACCATACAAGACCCTACACCCTACAGAAAAAACCAGGGTAAAAAGATGCTTTTTAATCCATTTGTTGGCCACTATCATTTGTCAAGACTGACAAAAGGTCAATTTGACCTTCTAAAGTGTGTTGAGATGGTAGATGGTGATGGGAACAAGAGAAAAGATTCAAGTCTTAGGTGCATTTTCAGAATTTTTACGTAAGTATTGACAGCTGCAGTATTGAATTGCAAAAGGTGTTTTTAATTTGTTTCCATCCAGTAGCCTTGCTTCAGTCTGGCAGCCAGTAAATAAGAGTTCAATAGCCACTAACAATTGTTCAGTAATAATTTTAAAGCTGAAAAATCAAAAACAGTATGTGAGAGGCTTACATCTTAGTTTTAAGAGAAAAAAGCACCCATGGATAGAGCAACAGTGACACTTTCAAAATACTAAAGTACTTCAATCAACTAGTGAGAGATTACTTTTTTGTGTGTGTGTGTGAAATAAAATTGCTACGCATATGGTGATGCATAAGAAATGAAGCAAACTTATCAAAACATGTCATGGATTAAAAAAAAACACAATTCATGGAAATTATTTCCCATCACCATGTTTAGACTATAGCATTCAATTCACACACATGAAGCCTAAATAAATAAACTAATCATCTATTTTTGCCTTTAATACATCTACAGTTGCCTCCTTCAGGTTCCATTACTTATCTATTCCTCTTCTCTGCCCTAACCTGTGCAGCATTGCTTTGCATTACACGGAATAACAGCCATGTCAAGACATTCAACCTCTTAGTCTGAGAGCCACGGAGTCCTCTCAGCAGAAAGGCATTCAAACCTCTCACCAGCAAAGGTCTGAGGAAAAGGAATTTGATGGGAAAGGGGGAGAAGGAGGAAAATGCCAGACGTTCAAACAACTTCTTCCTTTTCTCAGAGGTTTTGTTACTACTTCCTCCTGATTGTTGAGGTGGCCACCAAAGAGCTTCCGCTCTGATCAAGACTGCCAGGTATATCTGCATCAAAGCAAAAATTAATGCAGGGAATCAGAAATGCAATATTCTTTATAATACTGCTATATTAACACACTTTGTAATAAAGAATATTACACAACATACATTTTTAATATACATATATACATACATCACACATATATGTGATTTTACATTATACACATATTTGTTTACGTTATTTACATATATATTCCATGTACTTTATATATACACTATTATATTTTTATGGAAATACAAAACTTCGTATTAATGAGGATTCATGTCTTTAACCACAACTACTTATATAAAATAGCAGCAAATTTGGCAAGGTAGCTACATATAAATCCAAATGAATATGCTCTAACACTTTGTAAATGGGGTGTGGTACTTTTAAAAGCGAATAACTAAAATAATAGGGGAGAAGCTCCGTAAAATAATAATTAAAAATAGTGCTATCACTAATCATCTTTCAAGTATATAATAAAGAAATGAGTGATGCAGGCAAGAGAACAGGACACAGGAATTTCTGGAACATGGAGGAAAAAAATGAAACTAGTATCTGCAATAAGCTGGAAGTTGTTTATAGACGTTAGTGTTATTTTCCAGGTTCATCTTTGGAGGCTGTTTTATAGGGTTCTCTTGAGATAAGAGTTGAGATGACAGCTGGGTGATTTGTGAAAATTGTTAAGCTACAGGTAGAATAATGTTTTTGCCTTTTATACACTTGCCTGAAAGTTCACTGTGATGCACAGTGATTTCTTATAGAAGTGCATTGGAAAAAGTTTTTATCTCTTACTCGAGGATGGTATAGACATATTTGGTGTAAATTAGATGGCAAAGAATCTGTTCCTGATGATGTGTTTAGCATGACTGGGGCTGTTAAAAAGCCAGGAGCTGGAGCTCTGAGAAAACTTTCACAGTGGAGTTTTTTTCTGGTATAAGTAGCAAAGGCATAAAGATTTTCTGTGCAAGTCCCAGGACGTAGCGATATGAGAAGTCCAGATGCTACTGTCAGTGGCAGCCTTCTTTTTGCAATGAAGCAATTAACCCCTTGCACGCTGCCCGGGCGGCTCTCAGAAACGCGCTCACCCTCAGGCCGCGCTCAGCCCGGCTCGGCTCAGTACCTTGGCCAGCTCCGGGCGGCCCGCGGCTCCTCCGGCCCCGGCAGCGAGCGGGGAGAGACTGGGACGGCGTCCCAAGCTCCGGACGGTGCTGCGCCTCCTAGTCCCAGGATAAATATTAGTGAGATGCTACTAAGTCAGACAGGTTGAGAAAGACACATTTGAATAACTTTTATCTTAGTAGGTATTTTCAAGGAGATCTCTGATTTATCACTGTAGATTCCTGAAACACAGAGCACTGCAGAAGACAGTTAATTTTAATGTTTGGAAAGGATAAATGGAATTACTTTGGTAACAGGCCATCAGCTCGAGATTAGTTCCAGGTAAGGACTTGCAAGAAGAGGACTTGAGCATTAAAGAATTAGTGGAAGGCAATAAAACTACTGCCATTCAACTAAGTTCCCCTTCCTATCAAACTAAATTTTTACTACGGCATTACAAGTTTGGCCTATAAAGATAATAGTTATTATGGCACTTATAGTTCTGTAAGACATCTAAGTTTATAACACACAGCATAGTCTCTTTTTAAGGAACTAAAATGGCAGAAAGTCAATTGATCATACATGAAATAATAGGTTCCCAAGTATAATTTTAAATTAACTAAACTAACATTTCTAATTGCTCCCATAAGAGTCAATTTCTGACTTAATAGTGAAACATTTTTTACTAGGGAAAAATTATAACGTTTGTACCTGATGCTGAGATCAAGAAGTGGTATAGAACAAACTGCATCAACTGCTTAATCAGACTGCAAGCAAACTACTTTTATCCAGCTTGGATGAAAGAAGGCATTATACATCAAGGAACAAAGAACAAATGAAACATTACCTAACACAATATAGTAATCAATCAGTTCTGATAAATGCATCTGCTGGAGTGTTAAGGTTATGACAACTATGGATGAGTAGACAAATAAATACTATGAGATATTGTAATACCTCTCTATCTGCTCATTGTAGGACTGCTGCTAGAATATTATATCCAGTTCTGGTGCTCATATTTCAAGAAAAGATTTTTTTTAACAAAAATATGCAGAAAACCAAATTATTAAAATACTGGGTAGTATGCATTGAGTGTCAAAATTACAAAGCTCAGTTCCCAACAAACAAATCATATAAGTAAAAGATTGAGTCTTTAGATTACTTAAAAACATAAAAATATCTCCAAGGTCTTTTATTTTCATCAATAAAGATATTCTACTATTAGAATACTTTATTAATTATTTCAGTGGGTTCCTCATTACTGACCAGTCTTAAAAGACAACAGAATAATTTCTTACATTATATGCTCTTACTCAACTACTGTTAGCACATTAAATTCAGGGAAGTCCTAGGGAAGCTGGTGTTACACACAAAGCTGCCTCAACAATCACAACAGTTCCTTTGGTCTTCAAGCAGTAAGGCTGAGGTAAATGATAAAGTTTTTGTCTTTGAATATTAATTATATAATCATATTTCATTAAGAAAATACAATTATCCCAGGCATATTTAGTTTGCTGGGACTGTCTTAAGTCCACAAAAGTACTTAAAAACAGTCCACAGATCAGTTGAAAAAAATAAAATGTGGCAGAATGATGAGGCACAAAAATCAACAAGTTTATGTATTAAAAACATGGAGATCAAGAGACTCTCAAAAATTCCATGAATTTCTTACAAATCAGAAGAGCTAACAGTGCAAGATCAGATTTTAACTATCTTCCAAACAAACATACTAAAATTATTCCTAAAAACACAAGAGCAAAGTTTCCCAAAAACCTTTACAGCCTTTCACTTCATCCTCACTTAATTAATAAAAAGTATTGCATATTGGCATCACATTTTTTAAGAAATACTGGCTGTATGTAAATAAAGACATTCAATACCAAATCTCTCCAAATTAAAGCTTGGGCTATAAAAACAATCTTGATTGTATTGTTGACCTATAACATGCCATACTTGTGTATTTTGAATGTTTAAACACTTGATCTATACAAACAATATGTCTAAAACTAGAAGAAGTTTTACTTCAGATTGACTGAGTGCAGATTTAATTTTGTAGATATGGAAACAGTAACACATGATGCTATAATGGCAAAGTGTAACAGCCCTAAAATAATAACAGTATTCTTTAAGTTCTCAAATTTACTTAAAAGAAATACAATTCTATCAAACCGAGTTATAAGTATTTTCTTTTTTTTGTTTGCTTTTTTTTTAATACACCAGGATCAAGGAAAGGTTAGTCCAGTCTTTGAATATACATACAGAAGCACTGCCACACGAACAAGGTATCCTAGGCTCAAAACTAATGAAATACATTAGAACAACAGGAAGATGTCCAGCCTGAAATTAGCATCTAGCCCAAATTTCCTTTAAATCAACAGAGAAGAAAGTGCACCATCACCTCAAAGCAGCCTTTCACAGAAAATGTTCCTCTTTCTCTTGCATCCTCCCTGAGTTGACAATAGTCAGAGAGACCTGTCAGCTGAGCACCCAGGCTACAGTAAAAGAAAGGATCTGGTTATGACCACCTCAGCTACACATTCAGGGTGAAACTGCACATAACAGCATGACCTAGCAGGAGTTATGAACCTATCTCAGCCCAAACAACTCCCTTTTTACAATCATTCTCTGTCGAGTTAGTGAGTTGAATCAGCGCAGCTCTGAGATCAGTGGGCACTAGAAAAGGCACAGGCAGAGAACATCATTTTCCACTTATTAACAGAAGCCAGCTGTTAGTCTGGTTCAACAATAATGTGTAATTTCATCTGCAGGAGCTAATATGTGAAAAATATTCTTCTGTCTATGTACAGCTATAAATAAATGACAACTATCACCAGACAGTCAATAAGAGAGCCTCTTTCCTGCACACATCTGCTTTACTGCTGGAGGCTCATGGCTTGCTCCTTAGCTTCACCCTTAACTTCTAGTTCTTGGCTAGTAAAGACAAGAACTGACTGGGTTGGCCTGCACATTTCTCCCACAAGACCAATAAATATTTTCTTCATGCTGATCTATCCTGCGATTCCTTCAAACTTTTCTCCAACCAGACAAATTGTTCAACAGGTTTCCCCGCTGGATACACTATCTTGCTCAAAACTGCAAAACTATAATTTCACCCAAATCATCATGATTATAAAAATAATCTCTAGAGCTTGATGAAACAGCATATAAACATCACACAGAAAAAGATGGTGATCCTGTATCAATTCCTCTCCTTCAGCTCTCAGAGTACAACATTTCTAAGGCTAACTTGACTTAGAGAATTATACTTTGATTTTATTTATAGACTACAGGAGATGGAAAATCAAAACATCACATATGAAGTAAGGGCATTCAGTAAAACTCAAAGAGTAGCACTCTTTGCCTGACACAATTTCTACCAGTTGATGATTCCCATTCTGGATCTATTTAACTCAAGATGCTGACAAATAGACAGGAAAAGAACTATTTCAAGACAGTAAATAACTCAATATAACAATACAAATACATTCTAAAAAGTCACCAGTTTGATTTGGAAAAACACATTCTATTTACAGATCACTGCCTTTTTTAAATACTTCAACACTGCAGCCAAACAGACATCCTCCATTTGCTCAGAAGTCACACTGCTTGCCACGAGTGGCATTTGAAGCATTACTACAGAAGCAAACTTAAAAGCTCCAAGACACATCCTGCTGATAACACTACACCATAAAGCAATATAATTCTTATTACATTGATGGACAACATTATACCAAAAATATGTTGTTAAAATCCTCATAAAAACATTAGTACCCCGAGACACCGCGTGACAGAAACAACAAATACTATCTAAGAATTATCTGGGAAGTGACAGAGAGCAGAACGAACCCCCTCTCAGAATCAAGAAGGAAGAACTTTCCTAACTGTGGATGAGTCCAACAGTACAATTTTTGGGTAACTTGAAGTGCATCAAAAGAAGTAATAAAATTATTCCCATTTAAACAGACCAGGACTACACCAACCCTGACCGTTTCCCCCTTTTCCCCACGTGAGCTCCACATAGTAACCTGTCCCTGCAACAAGTAACAAATTCCTTTGCAACACCCAGATACAAAAAGATGACTTCATATTAGAGACCACATCTTTTACAAGCTCTCAAAGCAAGTTCAGCCTACTTTACCCCTCCTTTATACATCAGACAACTCTGTATTGGAAAAAAAAAATACTCTCCTCATCAATACCATCAGTAAGCTGGCAAACTTCATCCATGAAAACCCATCCATAAAGGAGGCCTTCAACTCTTCCAATTACTCAGATGCTTCTCCTGCACTGAAATGCAAGGCTAAGCAACATAAACACGTTTCTTCAAAATGAATAATTACAGGAGAGTTCCCCATCAGTGCAAATAATCTAATTCTCAATAACTGATTAATCTCTTCAGAGACAAAGTAACAGCATGAAATACCCTTTGAGTGATGCTTTTCATCAACCATGCAGTACAAGAACCACAGAAAAACATGCCTGAACACAACAATGAACACATTTTAAAATTTTTAACCAGTTTTGTTAAAAACACTAGACTCCTTCATTTTCCCAGTTTGCCTTCCTTTCCTCATTCCTCTCAAATTAAATCTTTCCCTTCTCCCTCAAAAAATTCCTCAAGGTTTTCAAAATTTGTCTCCATTAACTGACAAATAAGTTTGAAAAATAAATTATCAAAAGATATGATTTGCACAACGTGTCAAAAATGGAAAAAGATTCTCAACCAGATCAAGAGGTGAAGTGTCAAAAGGCCAGATTTTATCGTTTGAATTTTCCACTATGTGGGTTTCAAAATTAGTGGCCTATAAGCTAATACAGAGAAAGATGGACTATAAATTTAAACTGCTAAGAATGCCACCTCAATTTCATAAGCAGCTTGGAAAAAATCAGAGTTACTAAATTCCCTCAAAATCACACTACCTAGCATGTAGCACTGAAGGGGAATACTCTGACTCTAAAATTTTAATAAATACAATAAAGTTGTAAAGGATAAGTAAAAAATTGGATGATATTTTCAAATAAGTTATTTTGAAAGAACATATATAGTTACTAAAGCCTCATTATATAGTAATCAATGTTTCCAACAAATACAGGGAAGTTAAATTTTATTCTACCACTGGGTGACACAGAATACAGTACAACAATTAAAGCACCCTATTAGTGGATGGAAAGCAGAAAAATGAAACTGCCTCATTTAGTTGTACTCTGTCATCCAACTGAAAGTCTGTATTTCCTCTTCTAGAAATTAATACGTTTAATTCCCACTTAAGTATCCTAGATACTAAACTGCTAAACAAAAGAAAACTAAGTAAAATATTAACCATTCAAACAAGTTTCTTTCATCCTAATCATGGACAAGAAGTCAAGTCGATAACAAGCAATTTTTAAACACAACATGATCTGTAGATCTTGGACTCCTTAATGTACACCTTGCACTTAATCAATTTTGCATTTTAATTCCTGCCCACCTATACTTTAACAATTGGCCCATCAGACTGATCTGCTAAGTCCATGGCACAACATGCTGCTCTGTGAGATCAATCAAAGGAAGCTCAGGTTTCTGTGTCATGAGGAGAGAGTTTTTAACAGAGAGGGAGGAAGGGAGGAAGGACAGTGGCTGGTCCACACACAGCAGCGCATCCCTGTGAGACCATGACGAATCCTGGTGTCTTGTACTGAAAAGGCAGCTGTTTCTCCTCCCCTCTAGCCAAACACAAAGGCTTTGTGTAGTGCTTTCCCAGAGAAAAGGAAAGAGACAAGGCAACACATAGGAATATGCAGAAACTGTCAATCTCCTTTGTAAAGCATCAATTCATTCCCACTACAAAAACAAGCCTTAACTAACACAGAAAACACAGGAGTATATTAATATACCATAGAGTGCAACTTCATATGCTAAGCAAATGCTTAACCTTTTGTACATGTAGTAGTAGTGGTAGAAACTGATCATTTAGAAGCCAGTTTTGAACAAGGAAAACTCCACTCATATCTCTCTTCTGTCATACTCAAAAATCTTCTTGATATAATCAGCCACACTGAAGAACCCTCTCTGGAATTTGTGATGTTAGAGAAATCAGAGCCTGCAGTATGTGACAGCAGTACAGTGACTACACTAAACCCAAGCAACATCACAATATTCCAGTTGCTCAATTTCTTCTTCTCATTCTAGCCCCATCCTTTCCAAATAGGAAGTTTAAAAAGATGCTGAACTGTAAGTGCATAATGGTACACCAGAAATATATCAGAGAAGAACAAAGTATTTGTCAGAGATAATTGGTTCCATCTTCACATTTTTTAAGCTATGATATTCTGATGCACTATTTTCAAAACAACTTTTGACTGAAGACGACATATACTACTGCAGTCAAACTTTCCTATATATAATTTCTTTGACAGGCCAAATGTAAATAAGCAAACTTCTGGTTTAACAAGTTAAGAAAGTTTTACTACTTTTTAAAACGTACTTCACACTGTAAAGCAAATGAATAAACATCAATAAAGTATTCTGGGCAATTTAATACAGAATAGAAATCATGGATATCTTTGTACCACGAGTTCACATCATTAAAACCTCAAAAAACATTTTCAAAATCAAACAAGAGCAGCTAAAAAAGCTCTAATCTATTGTTTTCTCAGATACAACAGCTGAAGGGAAGTAACATACCTACAAGCAGAGCATATGTTCAACAGAGGCATGGCATTAACTATACAGAATATAAAAAAAAATGTACTCATTTTTTCCCAAACCACAACAGGGAAACTAGTCACATGCTCTAAGGCTAATATGATACTTAAATAAATAGTATCATAAATAAAAAATTAAATAGAGTATGTTTTATTTTAGGGCTTTCAACCTTCCTGCAATATAGCTTACTAATTCAGAACATTTAAGCTGAAATTCAACTGGTTCTGCACATACAGTCTAAGAAAGCCATTACAACCTATTTTATAACTCATCTTCTATACTCCTTTTCAGCTTAATTATAAATACAGTAGAAGGTTCTCAAAAGGCTGTGCTATACTCTGGGGTCATTCTTTTGTGTCCATTTCCCTCGACCCCCATGACAATATATTATTATTATTATTTGCAAATGCATCCCCACTCACACTAGCAGTTGCTCCCAACTGCTCTGGCTCACACCAGAGGTTTTGGAAACCTCGTACCGATCTTTGTCCTTCCATTGCTTTTGCCCTAGAGTGACAACAGACACACAAGGATACATCCAAAGATCATCCGTAGACTCGGGAACAAGATAATTTCCCTCTTCCTTCTCGTAAAGTTAAAAGTACGTATAACAACGTATTTTTAAATCCGTTCCATACGCAGTTGATGCGCTCCCTGTTACCGCCGTGGTGCGAGCACCCGCGGCCTAGCCGGGCATATCTGTATGCACAGATCGATGCAACTGCCGCTAATGGCTCCAGCACTCGGAGCGCCAGGCGACAGACAGCCCGCTTCCCGATCCAGCCGTGCCCACACAGCATCCGTCACACGCATGCCACGGCCCAGAGCTGGAAATACAGACGCAGCTATTTTAAAACAGGGATGTTTCGCCTTCAGAACACGTAAATATCTGTACCGTTTGCCTTCTTGCAGCAAGTGGGGGGGGACAAAAAAAAAAAAATCTCGTGCCTATAAATCTGAGTTTTCCGTGGAGGCCAGGGCAGCGGTGGGTGACTGCTGCTGGAGCCCGCCAGACCTGCCGACCTTAACTCCACGGACCGGATCGCCCCGTGCTGCCCCCGCTGGAATAACCCCCTCTCGGGGCGGGCCGTGGCCCCGAAGCTCCCGCGCCCGGCAAACTCCCTCTCACGAGGGGAGAGGAACCGCGGCGCGGCTCCCACGCAGCAGCCGCCGGGGCCGGGCCGGAGCCCGCGGGCCGCGCCCCGCCGAGGCGGCCGGAGCGCCCTCGGGGACCGGGGTGACGGCGGCGGCCGCGGCGCAGCCCCGCATGTCCTCACCTGGAACGGGGCCGAGGCGGCGGCTCCTCGGGGCGGTGCAGCGCGTCCCTGCGGCGCCCCCGACCCCGCGGGGATGGTGTGCGCGGCGCGGGGCGGGGGCTACAGCGGCGCCCCCCGGCCCAGCCTCCGCCCCATGGCGTGCGGCGCGGTCTCTATGGCGACTGCAGAGCCGGGCCGGCCCGCGGGGAGGGGTAACGGCTGCGCGCAGGCGGAGGGCGCTCGGCGGGTCACGGGGCGGCTCGCAGCGCTCCGCAGGGGTGGGTTGGGCCCCTCGCCGCGGCCGCCGCCATCCCTGCGGCAGTGCCGGCCGGAGCCCGGCCGCGCTCACTGGGTTGGGCCCCTCGCCGCGGCCGCCGCCATCCCTGCGGCAGTGCCGGCCGGAGCCCGGCCGCGTTCACTCGCGCCGCCGCCCCCGCGCTCGCCCTTCCTTGGCCGCGGCGCCACCGAGCCCGCTGTCCTCCGGGGCACCGCCCACATCCCCCTTTCCGGAACGATGATTGGGCAGCCGCCGAGATTCCTCACGGGCGATTGGCTCTGGGCGCGGTCAATCCGGGCGCCGAGGGCGGCCGCCCCTGGACGCGGCGCTGTGCAGTGCGGGGTTGGTTGAGCCGACCAGCGCCGCTACCGCCGCGGCTGCCCCCGCGCAGCCCCGGGACCGAGGGGCGGGAGGGGCGCTGGAGTTCTCGCTCCCGACGAGGTTGCAAGGGTCAGCGCCCGTGCCGGACACTGGGGCCGGCGCAGGGCCCTCGCCGCCTCATAGCTGCTCCCGGGGGGAAGCTGCGTCCTCCTGACGGTGCCGCCTCGGCCTCGGCGGCCGGGGCTGGCTGTGCTGTCCGCACCTGGGCGGGGTGCCCGAGGCCTGACGGCCACAGGTCCTGCCTGGCCTCCGCTGGGGCGAGAAGGGCTGAGGAGGGAGAGGCTTGGGAGGCGGAGGCGGGAGGGTCGCCTCAGGGCCCTCTGTGCCCTGCGGGGGCCAGCGCTGCCCCGGGGGCACAGCGCAGCTGTCAGCCCTGGGCTCCGAGCGGTGACAGTGGGAAACGCTGAATGTGTCCCATGCCTGGGTGAGTACGGCCTTGGAAGGGAAGGCTTCCCGTTCTCACAGGTGACTGCTCGCTGCAGGCAGGACTCTGCAGCCCCGTGAAGACATGGAGCGGGCGTTCCTCAGTGGATGCCATCGTGCCGTCATCGCACAGCAGCCGACAGGATGCGACTGCAGGGCCACAGTGTCACCCCAGAGCCTGCATCCATCTGGCAGACCAGCAGCCAGGAGGGGCCTGTTCTGTGGGAAAGGGGAAGGACAGATTGGCTGTGGTCACAGCAACTTGTATGAAGTGAGTGAACACACGGTAGTCTTCCCCTCATGTGAGGTTTCCTTAAGGGAAAATAAAAGTGCTTTTATTGCCCTACTCTCAGCCAGATAAGATGATAATGTGAATAATTTAAGCCCTTTCTTCATTCATCACAAGGAGATCATAGTTAAAGAGCGAGGTTAGAAAACAGTATCTCCTACTGCTGCTTTAGGAATAGGAAGATCTTAGTGCTTGTAGTTTACAAGTGAGCTACCCAGAAGTGGAAGCTGTGAACCAAACCTAACAGGGAACCCAGACAGTTGGGACTTGCTCAGTGCCAGCTTCAGCCAGATGCTTCTTCATTCACAAAGTGAACTGCCTCGAGCAGTGGGCCACCAGTTGAAGTGGTGTGGATAAGCACTGGTGATAAGCATGTATTTCTTTATATATGGTGAATGCACACTGTTTAATGCATCGTAACAATGAAGTGGTTAGTAAGAAAGCCGATAAAATGTTTCCATTCACTGAATGGAAACAAACTAGTGTTAGTGTTAGTGGCAAGAGGTGGAGAGAGTTGGTTTTTGGTTTGGTTTGGTTTTTTTTTCAATACATCTTTTATTCAATTATAAAATGTAGTTATGAGTTCTGCTTACCTTTGAGAAGCACTTACAATTTCTCAGTTGGAAAATATTCTCCTGGAGCTACATATTTTTTCCAAATCTGTCTTAAATGCCTTGCAAAGGTGACAGTTATTCTAGGATAGCCTGCTCCTCATACTTGTTCTTCTTATGCACCAAACAAATAATGTTTTCACATTCACTCCAAAGTAGGCAGTACTTTTCCTCCCAGATTATAATTGAGCATAGATGAATGCCCTAACCAGCTCTTAGATGTAATGTGGTAAATGAAACGAGGGGGTCATGAATATGAATCCATTTGTAAAGAGTACTTTATTGTTCTCCCAATAACTGACATGTTGCCTGAGGTGTACAATTCTTCAGGAAAATTTTCTGATTCAATTAAAGAGAATGGAAGGCCTTAACAAACTTGTTTATCTGGTTTGTCTGTTTACCTGTTTATCATTGCAGGTCCAAGGGGCATAGTTTCTCTGATACCTTTGGAACTTCACAAGTTAAATCGTTATCTAATACAATCACACTGACATGCACATTATCATGGAAATCACATCAGTACAGGTCTTCTTAGCATACTGTAAGTCAGCATGCACACTGCAAGCTTTAAAAGACCAAATAGCCTTTCCCTTCATCATCAGTTAGTTATAGTGATCTGTTAGTTCCCAAATTACCATGCACTTTTCATAACTAGACAAAACCTGAATGGTTCAAATGAAAGTCAAGCAGGGAAAAAATTAAACTAAGACTGAGCCTTTTCAAAAGGAAAATCTGTTTCCACTTATGTGAAGGAGGTCTTTACAGAAAAGATCTAATCTTTTTTAACTCACTGCTCCAGAAATACACCAAGAGTGTCAAGGCTTTCTGTTCTACTATTTTTGGTTCAGAGATGATGGTAAATATAACAGATACCAGCATTTCCTCTGTCAGTGCAAACTGGCAGAATATCTTCAGCACACACCAAAAAAACCCCAACCAACCAACTCCAAAAAACCACCAGCACATTAAAATTTCTATGGAAATATGAAATCGAGGTACTCTAGCATTTGGGTTTTTGGGGTTTTTTTGATAGTACATGTAGTTAAGCTTAGATGCATTGTGTTGATTTGCCTTGGAATAAGTTACCCTGAGCCAAAGTTACCATGTCCTATGCCCTTTATTCAGCTTGTACATTGTTAGTGGTAATTGACTGTCTCCATGTAAAAATGTGTCTCTTTTTGCAGCCTTTAATCAGCAGCTGTAAACCACTGCAAATGGGCACCTCTGTGTTTGTTCTGGAGATTTTTAAGTATCTCAGGTGGTGCAAAGTAAATCAGTAAAGCAAACTGTTCTGGTTTCAGCCAGGATAGAGTTAATTTTCTTTTTAGTAGCTGGTACAGTGCTGTATTTTGGATTTAATATGAGAATAATGTTGGCAACACACTGAGGTTTTAGTTCTTTTTAAGTTGTTCTTACTCTAAATCAAGGATGTTTCTGTTTCCAGTGCTCTGCCAGTGAGGAGGGGCACAGAAAGCTGGAGGGGAACATGGCCAGGACAGCTGACCCAAACTGTCCAAAGGGATATTCCATACCATAGAACATCATGCCCAGTATACAAATGGGGAAGGAGGTTCCAGTGGCTGCAGGGGGACAGGCTGGATATCGGTCAGCGAGTGGTGAGCATCACTTTTTTGCCTTGCGTTTTGTTTCTCTCTCTGTATTTAATTAAAATTAGTAGTAGTGTCAAATTATTACTATCTTTTATATTCTGTTTCAATTATTAAATTGTTCCTATCTCAATCCACGGGGTTTACCTTTTTTTTCCACTTTTTTGCTTACTGGGGCAGAGGTGGGGGAGTGAGTGAGCAGCTGCATGGGTGGGACTTAGTTGCCAGCTGGGGTTAAACCACAACACAAACTGTCTTGTCTTAGTTCAAAACTAAATGTCTAACTTGGCTGTAAACTGCAAGGAGAAGAAAGGTACTGCACACCAGAACTCTGAAGTTAGAGGAGGGGGATTACTGTGAGAAATTACTCCAAATTCCAAAGGCTTACGTGACCGAACTTTATTATAACCACGTAGTTCCTATGGAAAGATGTGAACAAAAAAATTTAATGTGCTGGTATGTGCATGGCATATGCATGGGAATATGACTTGCTGAGAAGTTTGACTGTACAAAAAATAATCCCCAGTCCTGTAAAGATGTTTTTACATGTTTAATATAGCTTCAATGTTTAATAATAATAATTTATCATTTTAAATATTATGCATAATTTATTAAGATTAAATATAGTAAGTATTAAATCACATATTGAGGCAATAAATAGAACTGGTCTGAATTTAAAAAAATATTGAAACAAGCTTGTAAAGACCAAAGTGACAGCAAGCTATTTCTGAACACAACTAGAGATAGCTCTAGCTTTTATGATTTTTTATTTTAAAAAAGATCAGAGAATGAGAATATACTCACATACAAGCTTCTAATATCTTTCTTGTTTGAAGAATTAGATCAGAATTTCCAGGATTGTCTCTAAATGGAACACAATTTTCTACTGCTTCCAACTTCTCCTTCCTTAGGTTTCATAAGGGATAGCAATGGAAAAGTAAGTTTGCTTTCCTGGAAATCTTCTTTCTTGTGGGGTGAGGGAGATGTGAGAATTTTCATCAGTGGTTTTTGTCTGAAAGAAATGACCTAATGTTTCTTCAAGGAATCTTTAAAAATTAAAACCCACACCTTGACACAAATGTATGCACATGGCTGCTGATGGAGAAGGGTGACGATTAAAAATGTGCAAGACCACTTGAACTCTACAGTTATTTTCTTCAAATAAACATGTATGGGAGTAGATGACTCATCCTGCAAAGTACAGACTTATTGATTTCAAGCACTTCCATTGGAACTTCCTTGCTTGGACTTCAGGGGCTTGGGGTTATTTCTATATGAGTCAGAAGTTCTGAATAATATTTCTACTTAGTTGACCACAGAAGTGGAAGACAAAACTCATAAAATTTTTTTGAGAGTCAGAAATCAAATTATTGTCAGAACAGAGAAGAGAGAAAAAGAAATAAAAAAATAAAAGGAGAATAGCAGGAAGCACAGATTTCATAGAGATGGTTAGTCAGTAAATGAACATCCACCAAATTCTAGAATTTGTTGAAAACTGTAACTAAAAATTAATATATAAATGGAGATGGAAACTGTTCTCACTGAAGAATAGAAAAGTAAACACATTTCTAGCAGAAGTCAATGAGCAAAGGAAGTACTGATTAAAGACAAGAAAGCACTTACCAAGTTTTGTGGATGTTTAAACAGTTATCCAGTTCATAGCAAATGAAAAATCATAGACCTTGACACATCTAGTTCAGCCCTTTTTCCAAGGAAGGACCAACTGTCCCCACAACATTCCTGACCAGTGTTTGTGAACCTGTTATAAAAGTTGTTTTGTTGATGGAAATCAAGCTTTGTCATGGACTGTTTTGCTATTTTCACTAAAAGAATTATTTCACCTGTTATTCTCCTCATATCCTGTCACCGAAGGAATTTACTCCCTTCCTCTGTGCAACTACCTTTAAAATTACTTGAACACTATTTTCACCTCTCACCATCAGTCTTCTCTGCGCTAAGGAACTGAGTTCCTTCAGTCTTTTTTCACAAATCATGATTTCTAGACACAGTGTCAATAAGCATGAAGTCGCCACTGAAGGGACAGAGGGATCTTGGATCTTTTTAGAAGAGCTCTAAGAGCACTGTGTCTAGGTGATGGCTCTTGTCAATTTGAGAGCTTCAGGAGCTCTGTGAGTCTTTTTTTTTTTTTCTTGGTAACTGTCTTTTTTTTTCTAAAAGAATCTCAAATTCCCTACAAGATGTCCTGAGTAATATTGTTCAGTTTAAATTATGTTCTAGAGAATGAAAAACAGCATCAACATCAGGTTTATAATAGCTGAGAATTGGGAGAGTTCCTGATTAGTATAGGAGGTCTCTTTGCTGAGAAATGTGACAGTGTATATCTGACTACTTTGCTAGGGGAAGAAGGGTCAACTGGTAGTATAGTGCACCTAAGTATTGATGCTATGAGATAAGGAATTAAAAAAGGAAATTTTAGCTCATTATGTAAGGGGAATTCTGTTGCCAGTCCTCATAATATGTGTATAATTCCATTCTGCAAAAAGCTTCCTGATAACTGGCTTGTAAGGGTAAGATTCATATTGAATAAGGTACAAGGGTAAAAAGGAAGATTGCTGCATGGATAAGGTTGTAAAAATGCATTCTAGTCTTTGGAAAAAAGTTACAGCCAAGATGGAAGTTTTAGGTTACCAACCAATGTAAAATACAGGTTTACTTCCAGCTTTACTATAGACTACTGGTCTGATTTTAAGGTGCATTTCTATGCCTTAGTTTTCCATTTGTAATGACTCACCATGAGTCAGGAGTGGATGACTCAGAGGTTGTGGACAGTACAGCTTCTATGGATTGAAATCAGAGCCAGCTTGACAGGTAGCAACATGGAGTTTCCTGCAATACACAGTAGCCCGAAAGACTAGCCATACATGTGCAGTGCAGTTCAAGCAGGTCTGCTAAAATTTCCTTTTTACTCGAGACTGGCTTCAGCATTCATGTTGTTAAAACCTTTAAGCATCTGAAAAATGAAAATTGTAGTACTTCTTTTTCTGATTTGTTTATTCTGTGATGTTCTTCAGGTAATTAAATGAGCTACAGTTACAGTATTTGTATTTTTCATGCAACATAGTACAGCACTGTAATACAGTGTATAGCTGTAGTTGAAAAAACATATACCTGATTTAATTTTCAATAAGCTTTGTGTCATTCTAATGTACATTTTTATGTACAAACTGGGTTCTTTTAAATTATTGTCTATTGCCATTACTTCTTGCCTTTGAGTTTTGACATTCCCTCTGTCAATTCTGCAATTCCTTAAGAATTTCAAATGTTCTGACTTAACATAAGTATCTCTATCTAACTAAAACAACCATAATAATCTAAATACCACTATATTTCCTTCCCTAAAAGTTCAGAAATGTAACTGAGAAATGAATGTTCTGCAAAGACCCAGTTGTTTCTATTTGCTTAATAACTTTAGTCTCTCAGTATCTACCATGTGGTTCACAACTTTACAGAAGCCAAAAAAAGCAGATGGTCTGAATACCCTTGTTCGTGCTCCCTCCCCATTAACACATATCATGGGAATCTATTCCTGAATATGGACTCGTCCTCTGAAGCACTGACATGTTAAAGAAAAGCCGTATAGTACCTGCTTGCATCAGACTCACTGAGTGCCTCCAGCTTTAGTCCAGTACTCCAAAATCTCGTATCATTAGTTATCATTTACATTAAATACATAATGAAATTAAAATCCATCCAAATATTAAAAAAAAAATAATTTTTGGAAACTAGGTGTAAAATTAAACTTTGCAGCATGCGTCATCCCAACTAGTTATTTCATCACACTGATTTGTAACACATCTGTTCTTGCTTGTGGACTTTATGAATGTTACTAAATAGGTAAGTAATTGGCCAAACATGTATTAGATTTACCTCTTTCAGATCCAAAGCCACAGCACAGCAGTCTCCACTGTGAGCAGGAAAGCGTGTGATTTCTTTCTATACCGCTCAGTGATAGATGTCAGCCCCACATGTACAGCCACTCCTGCAGAGTTACGAAATGCTACTCTGTGGTCTTGGTGCCCAGGCTTCTCAGCACGTCTGTAAGAAAATGCATCATGGTTAATTATAGATTGCCATAAAACAGAACTAATTTCTGAATAATTCAGCTTTTGATATTAACTTTGCATCTGAAACCATTTTCCAATATGAGATGGAACAAAATATAAAGGCAGCATTGACCTCTAGTTGCATTAAGATTGGATTTAGGTAATTTCTTAAAATAAGGCATTCTTGAGCTTCCATTAGCTCTGTGAATGACCTCTAATCTCTTTAACACAAATTAAAAAAAAAAGCTTCTTACTCTGTATTGTTGAAAAAACCTAAATAAAGCAGCAGTGCCATCTCCTGCCTGCTTGCTTTCATGAATGCAAATACTCGGTTTGTATTGCAAAGCAACCACAGGGAAGGTGGATTTTTCTGCTGGTAGGTAACTAAGGCAATAACATTTTCTGATACTTAGGGACAACATACATCTACAGTTCCATAGATGCGGCCAGTTTTCACAAGTGAACTTTTTCTGAACATGGAAAAGAACTTCAGTCATTTGTCCGAGATTTCTAAAATATCACATCCCAGCCAGAACAGTAGCTCAAAATGTGTACACTTCTGTACTTGTGCTGTACACAAGGAATACATTATACCTGTTAAATATGCTTCTGTAGAGTTATCTGTACATAAATGTCCATTTTTTAACAGATCTAACATATTCCCTTGGGGTTTGCACAAGTACAGCAAGTCCAAAGCATGAATGATTCATGTGCAGAGGAATAATTCAATGCAGTTGGGGTATATTTGATTGTATGCAAGCATTTGTGTGGTCCAACTGCAGTAGATCCAACAGGTCCCAGATATATCACATGTGCTCTGAATCAATAGCACATAAGCAAGTTAGAAAGCTGGAAGTCCTATTTCAAATACTTTCTTTTAAAAGGTGAAGTTATGGTAAATTACATTTTTCTGAACAAAAGTTGCCAGCAAAAGGCACACTGGGCCTTTATGGCTCCAGGGACTTCTTCCCCACATCAAGGAAGCAGGTCTGTATGTTTGCCATGCAGTACTGGACAATGCATTGTTGGATGGAGCTTGTAGGAAACATTAGATATGAGTTTGATTGTATCAGAAAAACTGAAAAGGGGGAGAATTTCACTGTATGACTTTATCCTGTTGGAATATGTCCTTGGGGATTTTCACCACATGGACACAACAGAATGTTGCTGACAATTATAAGCCTCCTTCTTCCATGCAGTGATATATAAAATGGCTTCTGCCAAATGAACAAGATTTAATTGTTTTTTAATTTTTAGAATATTGTAGCTAGATACTCCAGTCTCTGCTTTACACCGGACTTTGATAGAGTGAGTGGCACTGATAGCTGATCTTTCACCTTTCCATGAGACCCTAAACGAGGTGAGCAGGTGTATTCCCAGAATACAGAGTTAGAATTACAGTATTATCAGGGTATTGTTTTACTCCTTATCGTTAGCTGGGAGAGGACAGTTTATGCTTCTGAGAATATTCATAAACATTACAATGCTTGGTGCAGGGTCCCTTGCAGTCAGTTGTGCTCACCGAACTCCCTCTGCTGTGCCGATGTGTTATAGACCCTATGGACCAAACCTGGTACTGCTTAGCGATTCAGTTCTGGGACTGACATCACCACTAACTTGATGAAGCATTGCTGCAGACTCAGCTTGTTGCCACTACTGTTGCCAGTTCAACCCAGCCACGTCCATCCCATAAATTCCTATGTGTTGGGCTCAGAAATGCTTTTGCATTTGATTCTGGCTTGGAATAAATAGAGCTAGATAAGAGTCTAGGAACAGAGGTTTCTACTAGATTGTTCTTGAACCTGGAAGGCTTCCCAAACCAGAATCTACTGTGAGTCATACAGGATGATCCAATTGCTCTTGGTTACTTGAATTCCTTTCTTGCACACAGTTGCATTCAATACACAAGAGGATGGACAATTCCATCCAAAGCAACAAAATATGGAATGATGGGTAAGGCATTTAATACTGAATGTAAATGATGATTCCCTAAAATAGATTTTCCCTTCCCACAGAATCACAAAGTTTCATTATTCTCATTTTCTCTCTTTTGAAGGCATATTTATTGTTAAGAACAAGTTAAGAACTATTGAAGACCTTAACAGGTACTGAAGAACAGTCTCTGTCACTGTTTACCTCCGGAGGGGTAAAAAGGTAAAAGAAGTTCCTATAAAACATTTTGTTGATGAGATCTCAGTCCACACTCAGTTAATTGGCCTGTTTTGCAGGATTTAATCTGGTGGCATAAGAACCCTGAAATAAATCTCTTAGCTACGATTAGAGATGAAAGACAGATTAGCATGGGCAGGAGAGTTGAACTCTTTTTCTCCGTCTCCATTGGCGAGTCAGTGTGAAGACAGGACAACCAGAGACCTCAGGAAATCAGTATTTCCATCATCCTCAGGATGTCTGATTCAGGTATTTTCTTCCTTGTATTCATGAAGTTACCAGTTTCAAGTTCCTATTCAGTCCTCTGAAGCAGGTTAGTAGTTTCTTTTACAGTGTCACAAATAGGAATGTGTGTTTACCTAAAATGGCAGATTTTAGCAAAATCAGTAAAATAAGATGTGATTTGTTTATGGCAAAATTGAAGCCAAATTTCTTTGGAAAATTTTTATCTAATAAGTAAATGTTATTAACAAGTAAATAGCTGTGCTATGTCATGTTCTGTGTAGTTAGGGGAATTTGATAGCAAAGGAATAGGTAGGTAGCATCTTGGAAGCAAAAGGCTACTGTATGGTGATGGAAGCTGTCTTTAAAGTGAGTTAGACAAGAAAAGCTTGAGAACAATATTGATATTGGGGAGAAATTTACACATTTATTTGGCTTCTTCTGTTGAAAGAAATATTTCTCCTTTATAGAATAAAATCCAATTTGCTCTCCCATAGCCAGGGAAAAAAATGCCTGTGTGTATATGATTCATAACTCTGGAGTGGCTTCTCTGCAAAGGTTTCTAAGAATTTTGACAGAGGTGTTAATTCCACTGAACCGCTGGGAGTGGTTTTGGTTTTACAGTAACCTGCTGCCAAACACAAGAAGAGATACATGTTGCAGAGCAAGACTGACACTTTTAGCTGATAATTGCACGTCAGTTCTTTCATCTGGAAGAACTTTCTTCCTGGTGCTCAAAAAAATGCTACTACACAGCTGTATGAGTGTCGCAAAACATCTTATGCAATAAATTTATTCAATACTTCATTAAACAGTTAGGGAAAGAAAAATGTTATGGTGTATTTACAAAATTCATTATGATGGGAAGAGAGTCTTCTCATTATCTGAAATTAATTCAGTAAACTGTTAGCATAGGTAAAAATAACCTCAAGATAAATATCCATGTAGAAGCTGGGAATACAGGAATGGAATGGGTAACTAGTTCTGTCCCAGACTCAACGCACTCAGAGTTTCATGAGCAGCAGAGTGTGTCCCAGAGATCCTTTGTGCAATCCCGGGTATATCAGTGACAGCCAGGATCAGTCAACAAGTGGTCACTGCATACGAAAACCAGTCATTCTGCCCCCCTCCTCTGGCACTAGAGCTCATATGATCTTATGCTGCTGGAGGACTGTGGGGTGGGTACCTCTGTTAGATGAATATGAATATTTCATGAAATCTGGTCTTACAACAATACTAAAATTGCACCAAGGAATCTGGAAAAACCATATGAGAATTACTGGAGGCAAGGAATTACTAGGAGAGTTTCTCTTGAACAGAATTTTGGTTTTTTTAATTTTAGGCATCTGAAAATAGTGGAGGGAGCTACATCAGAATAGCTACGTGAGAGTGAAATGTACCCCTGCTTATGGAATTCAGCTTCAAATTTCTCTATGGTTAGAATATGACAGAAAGTCTCAAATTAAAAAGCTTCCCAGCTTGCAGTAATGAACAGCTAAAACTTTCCTCTGAAGGAGGGAGGATAATGGTCTGCTAAACTCAGGTTTACACTTGAGCCTCAGTCTCCCCTTATGCCACAGGGACCCTCCATGAGCTTGGACAAGCTGGTGCCTTCTCTGAAGTAATCATGGCCCCAAGCCTGCCAAAGCTCAAGGGGCATTTGGACAGTGCTCTCAGGCACATGGGTGGATTGTTGAGGTGTCCTGTGCAGAGCCAGGAGTGTGACTCGATGATCCAGCTTGAGTCCCTTACAACTTAGGATGTTCTGTGATTCTGTGAAATTTACAGCTTCCAAAATCAACAATGCCTCTTGAGCAGATGAATTTTAAGTAAAGGTAAAACTGTTTACAACTTTCGTTGAAATGTTAAAGCAGAATATGTTTGGCAAGTAGGGTGTTTTCAGTGACATGTAACTATATGTGTGCCTAACAATTGAGACACATCTTGCAAGTACATACATATATTTCTTAGAAGCCAACAGTGCGTGATGTATTCATTCATATACGCCGGCCATGGCACATGAACTGCATAGCAGCAGTCAGGGAATTTCAAAACAGATTCTCTCTGTTGTGAGCTCCGAGACCTGAGTATCAGGGGCAAATAAACCTATTAGCAGCTGTCATCTACAGCTATTTAAGGTCAAGTCATGAACTGCTTAACTGGTGAAGCAATCAAAGATACTGTCTCCAGGCTTATCGGGCAGGCTGTCAGCTGAATTCATATGGGGGCTTAATTCTGTGCCAGCAGAGCATGTTCAAATAAGGTCTGAAAGATACTGTAGAAGAATGGTGTGAAGAAAGTGTTATAGTTTTATAAATGACTATTCTCTGGACTTGTTTGCACAGAGGTGTCTATCATTGACATGATTATCACACTGTGATCACAATCAACATTCATCCCATTCCATGTGGGAATGACATTTAGGATTCTGACTGGAATATGAGGGGCTCAGAAAGAAAACCAGTCTATGATCGGTGGTAGGAGGGTTGGATTAAGGTGTGATTGTCACAGTTCTCAAGACAAAGAGAAAGAACAAGGAACTTCAGCTGCAGGAGCAGAGGTTAAGACAGTAATGGAGATTCCCTGAAGATTAAATAGGCCTTATTTAATATATCATGCTATTCCAAGAACTGTTTTTTAATAAGAACTTCCAGAAAGAAAGGGGGGGTCTATCAGATAGAGAAAAAATAGAACATCCTAAACTGATTTTTTTCTTAAGGTGTGAAGATGTTCTGCTTTTTTTTGTAGGGTGATTTGTTATTTCACATAAAAATGGTAGTGCTTTTATGCCAGATGAAGTGGAAAAATGCAGTGGAGGATGTTCACCAAAAATATATTCAGGTCATAACACTTAAAAGTTAATAAAATTTTGATAATATTTTCCAGAAAACCAGCACAGTCATTGATCGTTTAACTATTTGTATAACATTTTGTCTCTGTTGATAACTGCAGTAATTTTCCCCCTGCAGTTTTTTGCCAGAGTGATCATATCTTAGTACTGCATGTGTAGGGATAATACTTGCTTTTTGCTAGCAAAATCCCATTTTACTGCACATAATAAATGAAATTACTAAAACTACACATAGGATACTGTGTTTCTGGTGTTACTTTCGCATTTTTTTCTATAGGGAAACAAGTCTTATGTGATTGTGCTGTATATATTTGTGTTTGTCCTGCTTATTGAACTTTTTAACACAAACCTGGCCATAATACAGTAATCTAAGAATAATAAATACCTATAATTGTCAAGAAAATACAGGCAACAACTTCAAGGGGAAAAAACACTGTGAGTGTTCTGGAAGGAAAGCCAGCAGCCCAGCTCACTTCTAGACATCAGAAGGCCTGTACAGAAAATTGCCCTTGACAAAAATCCACAGAAATCTAGAGTCATTGGTTGTACTGTTCACTTGTTTTCAATTGCTCTAGTTGGTCCTTAGAATTTCATTTTTTTTTAAGTGTATGAAATTTAAGCAATAAATTTCACTGGGACACTCCCTGGGCAGGACTGAGAGTGCGTGAGGCTGCACAGGAAGTTCTCTGTAGTCTCTATAAATATCTGGTCAAACAGACGGTAATCTCTCTCTCTCTCTCTCTCTTCTTCAGATTGCTCCTGCATGCCTTGGACACATGCCCGTAATCAGCTTACGAGCTTCCCTTGACCTACGCTTCTTTTCCTAATGCTGATCTGACTATGGCTGTCCTCAAAGTAAAATTCACCAAAACTAAGAGGGACAAACTGGCCCAGATCTTATGGATACTCAACTGGGTTTCTGTAGTGAGCGGGATCATTCTCTTCAGTCTTGGCCTCTTTCTGAAAATAGAGATCAAGAAGCGCAATGAAGTGATGGCAAAAGGGGACATTAACTCTGTCCCCAACATGCTGATCTCTGTGGGGGTCATAGCATGTATCATCAACTTTCTGGGTGGAAAAATCTGCTATGACTGCTCAGATGCCAACAAGTTCTCTCGATGGAAACTTGTTATGCTGCCATATATCGTATGTACCTTCTGTTTTACCTTCTGCATCCTGGTGGGTGCTCTCATGTGCTACACCATGAAGAATGAGCTGGAAGAGTCTCTCTACCTGGGACTGAGGGATGCTATTAAGTTCTATAAAGACACAGACATTCCTGGACGATGTTTCTTAAAGAAAACAGTGGATTTGTTACAAATTGGATTCCATTGCTGCGGAAACAATGGCTTTAGAGACTGGTTTGAAATTCAGTGGGTATCTGCTCGTTATCTGAATATGGCTTCTAAGGAGGTTCAAGAGTAAGTATTTACTAGTCATAACAAAAAATTCTAGGAGAAAAATTCATTCAAGAAGGCAAAGTCTTTTTACTGGACCTTTGTATCTTAATCAAAAAAACTGCAGAATGACCACATTACTCGCAAAATACGCTACCTACATGCACAATCAAAAGCTGCCTTTTGCTAACCTTTTAGGGATGCTAAGCAAAGCAAAGATGTATCTTTCCTTTTTTTAATGTGGTGAGTTAGCTACCTCGAAAATTTAATTTCAGTTACAGTGAGCTGATAATGGAAAGAAAAAAAGGATTGTTCTATCAATACATTGCACGGTCAATCCTAAACACTGAAAGAACTTTCTCCTTCAAGGTATTAGATTCTGCAAAGCCAAGTTCAAATCTGTATGTTCACATGTGAGAAAGTGCCAAACAGCACGTACACTGAATAAAAAAGGAGAAAAAGACTTTTTTTTTTTGGTGGTAGTGCTTCACATGATGTAGCAACTGTGGAATTATATGTTCACAAAGAAGAGTCTGGTAATACTTACAGATGATAGAAAAAGTAACAATTAAAATTTATGTAAGAAGACAATTTAGTATGTAATAATTCTTCTAAAGCTGAAAAAAGTCCTCACTGACAAGAGTGTAGTAGCTTTGTATTCCTTGGAAAGACAAACACAAAGAGTTTGACTGGCATTTGTCAAGCGCTTTGTTTTTTTGAACTCAAAAATAGGTGAGAATAAAGGCAGAGTAAGGGAGGCCAAAGATCTTATTTTATCAGAATTTGCAACTTGAAACTGCTATCATAGCAAAGTGTATATACAGAGTTGCAAATATACCAGAGTGCAGGACCTAGGAGAATACAGATAAGAGGTTATCAGCATGCATAAGACAGTTGTCTGTGGAAATAAAGCAAGATTTACAAGTGTTCTCAAGAGAGAAGTTAGGAAGTATCACATAGAACAGACTGACCTCGAGACTTTTTCAATGCTGGTTCCCCACTGAAAAGTGACATGACAACAAAGAAGTGAAGAGTAATATCTTATTGTGAGGTTCAAAAGTAAAATATACTGCCTTTTATTTCTGTGAGGCATGCAGAAACAGTAATGTTTTATTCAGGGTCTTAACTAAACTGTTTTCTTCTGCAGGGTCACCTGTGCTCTGCAAATTTTTTTGAGAATACACTGTCAGTTAATTTTTGTCCCACTTTGGCAGAAGGTGACAGTGAAATGTGTGTGAGGGAAGTAATTTCAGAACTTTTTTTGCTGTGTATAAATTGATTAATTTCATCTGGATTGCCAGAATGCAAGTTGGTGCTGTATAACCACATTATACCATGATTTCTAAAAGTCTGGCAGTGAAACATTTAATTAATGTGAAATCATTGGAGGCAAAGCCCAGCTGGTAATGTTCAGAAAGGATGGAGAAGGAATCAAACTTTTTTTTGGTTTCAACCTGTACTGTATGTCGGTTGGTAGATTAAGAAGCAAAGCAGCTGAGAACTGACATACTGTCCACTTACATGTAACCTTTGTAAAACTGAACTTTTCACCTTTCCTCATGACCTTCTTCTCTCCCCTCTCTTCTATAGCTCCACTGCCAACACCTCAATGTGATAAGGCATGGAGACAGACAATGGGAATGGTCGGAAGATGAGGCAGGTTACAGCAGTACAATCCTGTCATTGCTTTTGTTAGGTGAAAGTCATCTTTTTTTTCAGTCTTAAAAGTAACTTTTTGCTTGACAATACCATAACAACTTTGAATTGCAACAACAAACAGCAGTGAATGCCTCACACACTCAGCTCAGTCACTTCTAACAGTACCAACATTCTTTAATTTGCCACTGACAGAGAAAACACAATCGCAGGAGGACATAACCCAAGTCTGGAAACTGATGCTGTTGGCATTAGAAAGATTCCCCTTTATAACATATGGCAGGAAGAATAATAAAAAAAAGTTGAATTGATGCTTGGGATCAAAAGAAAGATTAAGACCCAGTTTAAGAGATTGTATTTTATCCATTTTAGATGCTGTACCGTATCTGGGTCATTAAACATACATAAAGCCCTAAAATACAAAGGGCATTTTCCTGAAGCAGATATAAGCTTCCCTTTCATAATGTGCCAGTCTTCCTCTCCTCCCTCTGAGTCTTCTTTTCTCCTCCAGCATTCAAGTTTTCCATTTTGTGCCTCTCTGGCTCTGTTCCTTATTTCCCTTTCAGCACATGGTTTTGCCTGTGCCCATGACACGGCTCACACACTTCAATATAGTTTCAGTGCTTTATTTGGGTTCTTTGCATTGGTTTCATTCTGCTGCCATTACCAGAAATGTGATGGCCGCAAAGTGAAGAGCTACACTTGAAAATGGAGAGGAATTCATGCCTATCCCACTCCTAGGTGGGAAATGGCAGATGCACTTGCTGACTTATTTGGAAAGATCTTTGAGAAAGATGGTTTTGAGAGTACCTTAAACAAAACAAAACACACACCATCACCCAAATAAAAAAGAGAAAAAGGATGAGGAGAAACAAAGGAAAAAAGTGGGGAGGAAAAAAAAGGAGGGGAGGAAAAAAAAAGGAAAAATAGAGGAAAGAAGAAAAATGGAGGGGGGGAGGGAAAGGAGGTTGTATGTAGCAGGCTCACAGCAATAAAATAAAGGCAATTATCTTGCCATCAAAGCACTGCCACAAATACTGAGCTTACTAGAAGCTTATGTTTCATTTGAAAGTACTTCTCTTTAACTAGAAGTCATTGTGTGGACTTCTGTTTCCAAGCAGTATCCTTGTGCTGAAAATACTAAAGACTTCATGCTAAAGAGAAGGTAATACAAGGAAAACAGATATCACAGATTCATTTAACTGTCCCAGAAAATCATGATTAATCCGAGACTGTGTTCTCTTCCAATCCCATTTCCATTTTTTTTCTTATTCCTATTTTATCTTTCCTCTTTCCCCACATGTTTTCCTCCTGATCTTATGGGGGAGGGAAAGGAATAATTTTTAGCAATTTTTAGCTATTTTTAAAGTTACAAAAAGTATAGTTTCAAGAAGCAGAAACTTGCTTGTGAATTAGTTTCAGAATATGTGCTGAACTAGCCATTGCAATGGGTACAGTGATGAGAGGCCAGCAGACAATTTCCAGTGGTTCTCATGGTATGCAAAGTTATTCTTGTATTAGGTTCTCTCCTAAGGAATGACTGAATTGAAAATCCATGCAGAAGTAGCGAAACAGGATTTGCAGGGACAGAACTTCCATTAGAGTTCCACCAAGCTAAACAGCTTCAGAAATTGTCTTTAGTATTTTCAGCACAAAGATACCTAAAAAGGCAACATCTCCATGAACACTGAACTCACGTCTTGTGGCACAGTACCACAAATCGGGTGAGGTGCTTATACTTAAATGCAGACCATTAAAAATTCCATTTTCCTGTAGTAAGCAACTTTTCCACTTGAAAATATATCCCCATTTTCCTTTTCTTAACATTGGAGAGGCCTACATTGCAGCAGACTTGCATTACTTCTTTTGCTAAAATCACAGGCACCGCCTGCTGCTGCTGCGACTTTTGTAATGCCCGAAATTTCTGTCCTGTTGCAGCCGTCTAAAGAGCAATGTTGATGGGAAGTTCCTGGTGGATGGAGTACCCTTCAGCTGCTGCAACCCCAGCTCCCCACGGCCCTGCATCCAGTACCAGCTGACCAACAACAGTGCTCACTACAACTATGATTTTCTGACGGAGGAGCTCAATATCTGGGTGAAGGGGTGCCGAGAGGCCCTGCTGGATTACTACACCACTATTATGCGATCGATTGGCATTGCAGCATTGCTTATTTGGTTGTTTGAGGTAAGTCTCACAAAAATGGTCTGTGTCAGATTAATCAGAGTCTTGGAAACAAATATGGTGTAACATTAAAAGTGCCTCAGCAACCAAAGTCCACAGGCACTTCAGGAATGTTGCAGGACTTCCTTTAGTACAGGACTTTCCCAAAGACCACAAAGCAGAAGCAAATTTCATTGAATTTGAGGAGTATCGGGAATTATGTATATAATTCTGTATATTTACAGAGCTTTTTCAATAGAATACAACATATTTTCTTCACTGAAGCACTTACTGGATCAGATACAAGATGATATATGCACTCACACAACTGCAAGGAAATTACATGAGAAGGTCTGGGGGTAGTTTTAACTCAGTTTTAGCAAAGAATATACAAAATGCGAGCAGGTCTTTGGCTTAATAGAAAAATTTTGTTTATAGTTAAAATTGAGCATAAGTATTAATATCTCAAAGCCTCCTTTTTACATTATATATTCACCATATAAGCAGTACTTGCAAATATGGCACTGATTATGCTGCTGATAATGCAATCAAAATAAGCACATCACAGGGAAGCATACACCCCTGGAAAGGTGCAGTCTTCCTGCTAATGTCTGTTAAGAGAGTTGTCTGGATGTTGTCATCCACAAGTAAAGGACCCCCAGTGGCACAGGCTACAATAGTTTTCTCATCTTTTTAATAAGTTTTAGTTTTCTGATTACTGCTCCATTACATAAATATTAGGACTGTAATTAAAATAGTTCACAGTCCTCAAGCAGTGCTTGGTGGTGGTGCCAGAAATAACAGGCCTTTAGCAGCATGTGAAAAAACCTGAGAACTGGCTCTCTGTGCTCCCTTAAATATTGACAATCTGGGCACACTGATCTCGATTGTGACAGAAACTACGACAGCAGGGCTTTTTCCAAAACTTATACTTGAGCCTCTGCTATAGGCTATCCTTTTTAATTTTCATACCTTGGCATGTAGGATACATATGGCTTACATATGAATGATTAAACCTCCTTGGAGGAACTATTGATTTAATCAAGGTCAGTGGGAAAAAAAATCCATGGAAATTAACATAGTACTTTTTTTTTTCCCCAGTGGCTGATGGTTCCACTAATTGATCATCCATTCTACATCAATTAGTTGCACTCTCTGAGGCTTCAGGGTTCCTGAGTAATTCTAGGTATTTTTATGCTAGTAACATGCAAGGGGGATTGTTACCTGAAGAATGAAGAGAGAATCAATCCATCTCTCCCTTGTATTTTTCTTTCTAAAAAAATGCAATTAACTGGGAAAGTGGTTAGATATATTGCTCAGACAGAGTTTGTCTGCTTTACTCAATACTAGTTCTGAGGCCTGTAAATACATAAGTCAGAAAGCTGCCTTAGTGGTAGGATTGAGGCTGTGATTTCAACTTGCTGTTTAACCCCTAACTATTTCTTACAGCTCTGTGTACTTATTGGTGTTCGGTACCTACAAACAGCCATGAAGAATGTCCTTCTGCTCGGAGATCTGGAGGGTGAATCAGATGGTTGGTTACTAGAAAATAGTTTTGTGGAAACTGCCAAATACAACATCAGTATCATTAAGAACCTCGGCAAAGCCAACCAGATCTCCACTGTATCAGGCATGAATGACCCTAACATTAATGTTCAAAACACAGACTGTGGCAAAACCAATGTTTCAACAAAATCTATCCCTGCAGCTAGGTAGGCAAACCTTTGAAGGAATGACATCACAAGTTTAGCTTTGCTGTATTACAGTACTACAGTTACCAGATTTTTCACTGGTGGGGTAAAAAAGGAAAAAAAAATGAAGACAATTGAACAAACCACAGACTGGTGACAGCTCCAAAACTGCTGATTTTTTCATCAACTTCTTTGGATGGATGCATTTTTACTTGTGAAATCCCTGATTTTCAACACCGCACAAAACTTTTGGAATTTTTCCCATTTTCTCTCTTTACCTACAGAATTCTATCATGGTCTGAACATGCCAGAGTAATCACTATGCAAAAGCAAATGTTCCAGAGAGGATGAGTCTACATCTACTAACATACACATTAGTCTAATATGTACCAAAGTTTGTCCTTACTGTCATTACACCTACAGAAATCCCAGCAATGGAAATTCCCAAAGGAATTATTACACTTGACAAGAAGATTCTTTACAAAAAAGAGAAAAACTGAAATGAAAGCTCTGTTAGTCCAAGATAGGAGAGGAGAACTTTTAGCTGAAATGTACCTATATTGCAGCCCTTCTAACAGAACCTACTAGCTAGGTGAAACGGAAGGCAATGAAAGTTACTGTAATGTATTTCATTTATATTTCCCAAAAAGTCTGAAGTATGTCTTCATTTTTCCCCCTCCATAGTCTAGGCAAAGCCAGCTGCCACACCTCCCTGTAAGTCAAAGGGTACTGCTGAAAGGAGTTCTCTGCTTAAGGCAACTGACAGCTCCTGCAAGGATATTTGAAATTCCAAGTAGCATGTGATAGCCCTAGTTTAAAAACAAGTAGATACTTCCCCTAAAACAGACACTGATGATCCTAGATGCTTACGAGCTCCTCATTTCAAAAGAACTTAACACATTGATTCAGGGGCAGGAAGATAAGGGACTATGTGAAATCAATGAAGGCAAAGTCAGACTGACAGCTCTCCCACCACACTCCTAGAACAGCGCTCAGGAACTTTGTTAATGTTTGGAGTGAAAGCCTTCAATGCTCAAGACACTTGTAGTTACAGGATGCCCTATGACACTAATTCATCATTAGTAGTAAGCAGGAAAAACATATCAATACAAAATAGAGGTTAAAAGACAAAATAAAGTATTTTACTTGTTACTGCTGTGAGTGCATTCTTTGTGGATAGTCAAGTAAAAGAAGATATATCACTGGGATATTCAAAGCAGAACTATTTCTGCTTTTGAAATTGTGAAGAAGTAACAGTAAAAATTCCTTTACCTATCAACTGTTGTATTCTGTAACACTAGAAAAAGCAAGGATTATACCGTAAGGATATATTGTAAATAAATTGTGGAATGTAATGATCTGTAGTGCAATTCAAGCAGGCTATATGCATGACCATAATTTCAAATGCAACTGCTTCACTGCTTAACATTTGAGGCCTATACTTAAGTATGTTAAAATTCCTTCAAAGAACTAGGTTTGTAAGCTGAGACTACCTTCCACAAGAGCCATTAACTCTTCCCTTTGCATTGCATTTACCTATGTGTCTATATTTCTAGTCTTCATTGCAATCACTTTGCCCAGTGTGGAATTAAAAATTAACTGGTGCATAATTCCCTCAGCCACTTCCGAGAGCCAAAAATACTTACCAGCTGCTCTATAATTAGCTGATACAGACTGGAAAAGAATTAATACAGTTTCCTTGAGAGATCAAGGAAAAGGACAGTCATATACTGCAAATTAATCAGATTTCCCAATAGCGTATGGGGTTTTTTTAAATGCAGTATATTTTTCTTCAGGTAAGTATGCAAAGTGCCATGTGTCAGTCAATAGCAGTCACTTCCTCAAAACAATTCTAGTTGATTTACATTTGGAAAAACAGATCTCAATAACCAAAAGCTGTAAGATAATCAGAAATAATTCAGAGAAAACCAGAAATTACTCATGTAGAGTTTTTTTTAATTAGGAAAAAATTGAATCAAGAGATCTAAGAATATGCAAATTCTAAAAAATAAAATGCTTTCAACAATTAAAAAAGAGAGGAATGGTTCAGCGTGATGAAAATGGTTGTAAATCAGGATATCAGAGCATAAAGAAAGAAAATCTTACTTTGTATTTTAGGAAACATTTCCATATTTCCTAATGGCAAAACACATTTAACTGTAGAAACAGATGACAATGGACATTTTGCACCACTTAAAAATCTCTTGGTCAAGTCTTACCTTGCAGAATTACAAGAACAGTGAACTTACTCCTTTGATAACTTTCTAGTTGACGGATTTGTCAAGACAGATTTGGAAGGAAGAGTGAACGGATCATCCAGCCTGAGCATCTCTTTAAAGACACAGAAATGTCAAGCAGTATTTGATGTAAAACATTACCATGAAGAACAGAGGTGTAAGTGTCCAGCTACACATCTTCCCTGGCCCCCACACAAGCTCATTTACTTGCATATGAAGAAAACACATTTTACTCTAAAAGACTAGTTAGCATTTAGCAAGTTAACCTTCTCTCTCAGCCAACTGCCAGAAACTGCAGCAGTGGAATGTGGTTGCTTTTGAAATTAACTGAGTTTCAGAATACATTTCACAGGGAACAGTCCTTGTCTGGCCTATTACCAGTGATTACTTAAGTCATTAAATTGTTGATTCCTATCCTGTCTAGGCATTCAGAGTCTCCATCAATATAGACACATTACAAAAAGATGATAGCTCATCTTTCACAGTAATCAGGATAAAATTTACTTTTCTTGATAAATGCTTTCTTCTTTGCTTTGTATTTATTGGTTTCCCCAGAATGTGGAAGTGCACCCTATATATCCAGCTTCCTTTACAGCACCTGTCACAATAGTTGGGATTTCCTGCAGTATTTAACATCACAGTCACTGGATCAAGACAACAAGCTCAGGCAGCAGCACTGACTCCCCCTTAATTCTCTGTAATTGTTAAAGACAAAGATGGCATTAGCGAGCCAAGCCTTTAAGCCAGGGCATATGCTCAGATACAGAAATAAATACAACTTGAGGGACACTTCTTATCCTACTTATTATTAATGCTTAATCCAGTCAGAATTAATAACAACACAGCAACTTCCAGAGTAAGGCACTCATCTATGCATAAAACTATTTTCTTTATCGAGTTCTTAATTAAAACAAAATAAGATAAACACTGTAATGTTCAGTTTCTGGTGAAGGCACTATGATAGCTTCTATAGAAATTGCAATTACAATACTCTAAAGCTTTCTGATTACCACTGAAAACACTTACTCTACATTGATCGTAAAGAAAAAATAATTAGCAAGAAATATAAAAATGTAGCACATTTAGGGTTTTGTTAAAATGAACACTGAACACAGCTCAAGCAGGAACTCTGGTACATTGGGATGAGCTCTCTTTGAGCTCTAGGCCTGCATCTCAACGTTTGTACCCACCTCAAAAGGGCAACATTACACTTTAGGCACACTTAAGAAGGAGGAAACAAAAGGTTCTGCAGTCTACTGAAAAAGATTAACCACGGCTCTTCACAAACATAGCAAGGACTCAAAACAACCATAAAATCCACAGCCTCCACTTTGTGCTTCACAGCATTTTGCTGCAGCTTATTCACTCAAGCATGAAGCCCAAAAACCTTCTAAAATTAAGTCTGATGGACTGTAAGTTGTTTTACACTGATCTCATGAGCAACAGTCACAAGGAAATAAAAGAAAACTCTCAGGTCCCATTTTAATGTTTGATGTTTAACTTTATACCTCGTCTCCTCTTACTTATCACTACATGAAATCATGTATATAATCCCTTGGAATTTCAACTCGCTCTCCTTCAACGCACATTTCCTTTACATTCAGTAAGGTCAAAAGCAAAGCTGTGTAAGTTTAGAGAAATGTAGCTAGGATTAGGAATAACTAGATTTGAGAGACTTCTATAGGAGTGGATTTTCATTATTAGCCATTTTTTTCTGTATCAACCCTCAAATTTAGCCTACCTGCAAAATACTCATGAAAACTAACAGAGATTTGTGCCACAGAAATGAAACAACTTCCATTTTTTAAGAAAGTATCTTTGAAGATCTTGTTAAGTAATAGGTTAGAAGACTCTAAGTAACAAACTTAAACGTTGTATCATGAATCTGACTAGTTTACAATGGAGATTATTCAGTGATATTGGCTAGAAAATAAAGTGTATTTCAACCATAAAGCAAAGCACATGATGGCCAAAATATTCCTCTATATTTTTTGTACACTAACATTTTTACTATGCAAGAAATAGTGCTGTGGCTTTTTTCTTTTTTTTCCTAATTAACAGGATTCTTGTTCTAATATTCTTCAGAACATTTTTACTAGTAAACTTGATCTACCTCTACCTTCTACCTTTTCAGGAATTGATTCTTAAACACATTTGCTTTACTAAGAAAAAGCATAAAGAGCAACACCATCAACACCCAAATTCTGTAAGCTTAATGGTGCCCAAAGCTACAACAGCGGAGGATGTGATGACAGTCAGCAGCCTGTAACATAAAAAGGGGCAAGAAGTACTGGCCATTTCTATGTGAAAGACTTCTTGACTGTTTGCTTAGCTCTATAATAAAACACCTTTTTTTTTTTAACATGTATCACACAGCACACCATACCAACACCACAAGGCTTCCCTTTCTAGATGTTGTTCTGACAAACAGTTCTTATTTGACAAGATACAAAACCAGAATCACTCAACTAAATTTGGATGTTTTAGGACATCTAAATATTAAATTCTGCACTTAAAACTTATTTTACAAATTGAGGTAGACACTGCAGGAATTTGCATCTACAAAATACTGGGAAAAGTTTCAAGTAGCATATTTCTTTACGTAAGAAAAAGCACAGCATCATTCCTAATGGTACGAAAATTATACAGACTACAGGAGTAACTGGTATTGTCTACCAACCATTTACTAACCCTTCTCCTTTTTCATACTGGCAGACACCGCTATGATGCTCTTGTAAAAAGAACTGTGAGGTGTCAAATAAAAACTGAATAATCTACGAGAAGTTACTTTATTTCTTTTTTTTTTTAAATATACATATACAAGATATTTTATTTCAAAAGCACAAGAACATTATACAAGTTTCAAATTTACATTTTTGCAATTAAAGATACCAGTATGTGCATTATCAAATAACTTCTGTCAGCTTGGATGGAACAGAAATCAGTGGCATAAGCATCTTGCAATCACTAAATACAGATTATACTCACAGTGAACAAAACTGCATAGTAATTTATGAAATGAAAGATGACCACGCTAGTCCATGAATGATATGGGAGCCCATTTGCTAAATTAGTATGTGCAAACGTGCAGAAAGATGCAACTTTCTTCTCCCACTTCTTCAGCTACAAAGAGATTTCTAGAGCTTTAAACAAGCTCACCTGCTCATACCAACTCCTCTTCTTATATACTACAGTTCAGACAGAAAACAAAATAAAGTGATCTCACTGCGTATTTGACAATGGAATTTTTGCATCAGTGAAGTGCGAGATAACTGAAAGTTTTTTTGATAAATGAATTAGTAAATATCAGAGGGAAACAGTAAGAGAATACAGCTTGGTATCAATGAGGCATACATCTGCTAGTATTAATTCAATATTTTTGTTGGTAAGAAGTGTTTTGATGACATAAAAATCATCAGTGCATGCAAGTTTTCATGACAACTGTTCTAAATTCAGTATGTGAAGACTAACAGAATTAATGTTTGTCTTCAAAGAGTTTAATATTCAGGTTTAAAATCCGATAGAATCAAAATAAGGAGAATGGTCTTAATTTAAAGAAACAGAATACCTTAAAAATATACCAAAGCCAACTTTTTGTATCACCAGGGAAGGATTACAGCAAAAGTTTTTAAGAAGTATTTGAAACTAGAACAATATTTGAATTCATTGGTATTCCATTTTTAGATTAGTTATGGTGCTGTTCAGTGCACTTATACACACATACTCAAAAAACTTAAAAAAAAAAACAGGAGAAGAACATTTAAATCTAAATCATTATTTGTGATTCTACCATTTCACATACAATCGTGGCAAAATGAAAAGACATCATACAAAAACATGCTCTCAGACACTAATTTGAAAACTTCCCCTTGAAAGTCTTATTAAAATGGCACAAAAGAATCCAAACAGCAAAGGGGCAGG